GCCAGGAGGTGGACCAGCCGTGTTTCCTATGGAAACCCCACCTACAGGAAAAGGGAGGACTGGGCTGGTACAATGGGCTGGGCGGGATGGGGGCTTAGGGGGTGGGGGGCAACACATTTCCCAGCTGGGAGAGGGGTGTGGAGGTGCCCTGGGTTTCCAACCTGAAGGAACCATCGCTGCTGCCACCTGGACAACACGTTCCTGCCGCAGCCCCGACCCAGCTGCAAAGCCTGGTGTCCCTCAGGAAGGTGCCTGCAAGGGCCAGCAACAGTGGTGCTGGGGTCCTGCCCTCCCCCTGCCCCACACTGCTGGGTTTCTGACCTGTCCTCATTGTTGCCCAAACCCAGCACCAACCCCCAGCCCTGCCTCTTGCTGCCAGGCTGGAGGGCAAAGCCCCCGAGTTACCTTTCCCAGCTCACAGCTTGGGATTCTGTCACTGCTCTGTTTTTTTTCCATCTGGACACAGCACAACGAGCTCACAAATCACTGGGAGAGCTGCCACCTACTGCTGGGTTTCTGACCTGTCCTCATTGTTGCCCAAACCCAGCACCAACCCCCAGCCCTGCCTCTTGCTGCCAGGCTGGAGGGCAAAGCCCCCGAGTTACCTTTCCCAGCTCACAGCTTGGGATTCTGTCACTGCTCTGTTTTTTTTCCATCTGGACACAGCACAACGAGCTCACAAATCACTGGGAGAGCTGCCACCTCAAGCACAGGCGGGTGGGTGCAAGGGAAGAAAAGAGGCTCCAGCAGATGCCAGCTGTGTCCTGCTGTGCCCATCCCCACTGTCCATCTGTCCTGGCCTCCTTTTCCCACCTTGGCACGTGCTCCATCCCCAGCTTAGCAGAGCTTCGACTTCCCCAGCATCACTCCTCACCCAGCAGGGGGTTTGCACCACCCAAATCCCTCCTGTACCTTCTCTCAGCCCAGGCTGGGCTGTACTTTGGCTCTCGAGGTGATTGAAGGAGCTGGGGACAGAGCAGGTTACTGCAGAAGTTTCCTTGGCCATTTCTGAGAGCAGAGCACCCTAATGGTGGGGATTGAGTCCCATCACCCTTGCCATGACCCCCACATCTCCCAGGCAGCCTCCAGCAGCCCCTTGGGTGTCCCATGCCCACCCTGCCCCCCACATCCTGCTTCTCCAGCCTTGCTGGGCACCCCCATGCCCCCCCATCCTCTTCCCAACCTTCCCTGCTCCCCTCACAGCTCTGGTTTTCTCATCACCTGCCTCCCTGCTCTCAGCACTTCTCTTCACTATAATTGTTAATGCCACAATGAACAGGAAAAGCAAAACCACCCCCAGTGCTGACCCACCACCCCACCCGGGGAGCTGAGGGCCCCCACTCTGGCAAACCAGGAGGAAGAGACAGGGCAGCTGGGCCGGTGCTGTTCCTGGGCTCTTCCCAGCTCCAGGTGACCTTTGCCAAGTCATTTCCCTGCTTTGTCCTCTGGTTTCCTCTTCAGCCGAGGAAATCCAGCCCATGGGCACTCCTGGAGGGATGCTCTCCTGGAGGGATGGTGCTCTTGGAGCTGTGGATGGAGAAGAAGCAGATGTCTCTCTCCCAGCCCTTTCAGGTGAGAAAGCTGCCTCCTTCTGGGGAAAGTCTCATCCTTCCACCTCCCCTTGTTTTGTTTTTTGCCTCTTCTTTTCAGGGGTGGAGAGGAACAGAAGAACCACGTGGGAATATCACCAAGGAAAGGGAAATAAATGTTGTGCCTGAGAACTGGGGAAAGGGGGGGGTCCCCAAAAAGCCCTGCAAGACGTGTCCTTCCCCATCACCTCCCAAGCCATCTGCAGAACAAGTCCACCTCACCAAGTTCTCCATGTTTAACCCATCCCTGCTGTGCCAGATCCATTTTCCCAGCCACACCAGCACTCACCAGTGCCCCCACCTGACTAGCTGGAGAGAGGCTGCTCCTGGAGGCTACTGCAGTCCTAAACAGCTTCTTTTTCTCCCCATTTTCAGCCCCAGTTGCTCAGTCCCTGCAGGGAAAGGCACTGGGAGAAGTCAGAGTCCCTGAGCAAAGGGTTGTGACCCCCGTCCCAAGAACCATCCCTCCCTCCAGCTGTAGGGACAGCCCTGGTGACAAATCCAGACAGCCCAGCAGAAAAGGAGCTGGAGGATCTAATTCTTTCATTATAAACCCCTGCAGATCAGAGCTGTGACCCTGTGCTGCCAGGACAGCAGCAGGGACAGCTGAGGGACACTGCAAAAGCATCCCTGGCCAGCAGGGCACGCCAGCTGCACCTCGGGAAGGTGGGCAAAGGGAAACGGAGAGAGAAAACTGGGCGGAAAAAGGGAGGTTGAGCTGAGAGGAGCACAGACAAGTGAAGCAAGACCTGGTGCTAAAAACAAGCCACATCTCCTCCTGTGTCCTGCTCACACACGGGCAGGTTTCCAGCAGGTAGGTGCTTCAAGACCTCCATAGACACAGTTGTGTCTAAGAACATAACATTCACACACACACACACCCCCAGGAGGTTGGCTGCACCTAAAACCTTTCATTTAAAGCTCAGGGAGAGCAGCCCTCTGTTCAATTATTGCAGCAGTTGCTGTTCAGCTCCTAGGGAGGCTGGTGATGCCCCAAGCAGATGTAGATGCCATCGAGTGGTGGGAAAACCCGGCTCTGCTGAAGCTCAGCTGCTCCCCAGGCTCCGGAGCAAGGCAGGGATACAGGGGACAGCCCAGCCTCCCAGGGGTGAGGGGCTGCACCCCAGATTCCCAGCCCATCCAGCCCCACCGCATTATCTCCGGCCCCACGGCCCCCAGGACCACTCGTGCCCTAAATGCAACCACGGGCGACCATCCAGAGGAGGGGGGAAGTTTGTCCTCGACTTCCAGCTGCAAGTTCCTGCAGCATCGTTTTGTGCCGAGCCTTGTTCCGAGCTGGCTAAGAAACAGCTCCAAAGAGCTGATGGGGGGAATAAAAATCACAGCGACGACCTCTGCTCGTCCCCTCCCACCCACCCCCCCAGCG